TGACACGCCCTGGGCAGGGGTGAGGTGACACGCCTCAGGCAGGGGTGAGGGGTGACACGCCTTGTGGCAGGGGTGAGGGGACACGCCTTGTGGCAGGGTGAGGTGACACGCCGTGGCATGGTGAGGTGACACGCCTTGTGGCATGGTGGGGGGTGACACGCCCTGTGGCAGGGTGAGGGTGACACGCCTTGTGGCATGGTGAGGGGACACGCCTTGTGGCAGGGTGAGGGGACACGCCCCAGGCAGGTGAGGGTGACACGCCCAGGCAGGGTGAGGGGTGACACGCCTTAGGCAGAGTGACACGCCCAGGCAGGGTGAGGTGACACGCCCAGGTGAGGGTGACACGCCTGTGGCATGGTGAGGGGTGACACGCCCAGGCATGGTGAGGGTGACACGCCTTGTGGCAGGGTGAGGCTGGTGGGTGAGGTGACACCCTCTGGCAGGGTGAGGTGAGACGCCCTGGAGGCAGGGTGACAACAGAGTGAGGAAATATGTTACAAAGAAACCCAGACGGTGAGACTCAGGTGGCGGTACCACCGCCTCTAATGTTTACACGTGACAAAACAGTTCTATAGGCAAGGCTGCCAGCGCATACTGAGCCTCGCACAAACAAGCAGCCTGCCGGCACTGCACTCGCCACTTCCCAAGTTAAAACTTAGGCACCAATTTACCACAGAACTGGGGAGCATTTGTGATCGAACCACCGACCCACGGAACAGGAGGTGAGCAAGCAGAACCACTCGACCACCACCTCCAAGAATGCTTACATGTAACAAGCTAAGTTGATCTTGGCTTAAAAATTATACGTTTTCGAATCACCTGAAGTGTGTGTAATTCTCATACTTAAGCCTCATCCTCGCCACAACGCCTTGTGTAGTTACACACACACACACACACACACATGTACTATGCATGATAATAACCGCCTCTGCGTATAGGTAAGATGGTGGGCCAGTCATGAACGTCCTGACTGTAATATGACTGTGTGTGTGTGTGTGTGTGTGTGTGTGTGTGTGTGTGTGTGTGTGTGTGTGTGTGTGTGTGTGTGCGTGTGTGTGTGGCTGAGACATACAATGCATACTTTCTTTCCCACTCAATTCTTTCCTCTCACACTTCTCTCACCCGTCAGGCAACATCCCCAGGTAAATCCAGGTGACATTATCCAGGCATTAGCCAAACTTCATGTTACTCTACCCATGTATAATTCATACCTGCCCAGATTGGTCAACACTCACACCCCAACATTATAATTTTGTTGCTGTTGTTATTATTATTGCGTGTTTGGGGCGCTTTATATTATGACCGTGATTGTTGGCATGTGTCAGGGGAGGGGGAGAGGGGAGGGGAGGGGAGAGAGAGAGGGGGAGGGGGGAGGAGAGGTTGATAGGGTGAGGTGGTATTATAAGGGGGGAGGACAGGGTGTATGAGCTGTTGCTTCTTCTCACACTCCTACTGTTAATTCACACCCACGACCGTCACCCCATGCACCACATACTCCTGTTGTTCTCGCAAGATAATGAACAGATCTTAAGTTCTTCCTCTTATACTGTTGTTCTCATGTGCTGTCTCCAACACGACACTCACCATTGCCACCATCCACCCTACCACCACCCCCTACCACGACCACTGTCACCACCCTACCACCAATTCTACCTCCTACCACACGACCACTTCACCAACTACCACCAACCCTGCCCTACCACGACCACCGTCACCACCCCACCACCACCCTTATCACCTCTCCCCACGACCACTCGTCACCAACTCACCACCAATCTTATCACCTCCACCACGACCACCGTCACCAATACTAACACCAACCTACCACCCCTACCACGACCACCCACCACCATTCCACCACGACCACCGTCACCTTCACCACCACCACCCCACCACCAACCTCTCACCACCACCCACCGTACCACCACACCCACCGTACCAGACCCTACCACTCACCTCACACCACCACAACTCCAACAGACCCCACCACAACCCTACCACCACCCTACCACCACCACTGTACCACCACCACCCACCACCCACACCACCACCCTACCAGACCCCACCACTACCCTACAACCACTCTACCACCACCCACCGTACCACCACACCACCCTACCAGACCCCCACCACCACACTACCACCACCTCTACCACACCACCCACCGTACCACCACCACCCCTACTGAGACCCTACCACCACCCACTGTACCACCACCACCCACCGCACCACCACCACCCTACCACCACCCCACCACCACCCAACCGTACCACCACCACCCTACCAGATCCCTACCAGACCCTACCACCACCCACTGTACCACCACCACCCCTACCAGACCCCCACCACCACCCTACCAGACCCCTACCACACCACCCACTGTACACACCACCCACTGTACCAGACTCCTACCACCACCTACCACCACCCACCGTACCACCACCACCACCCTACCAGACTCCCCTACAATTAACCCACCGTACCACCACACCCACCGTACCAGACCCCTACCACCACCCTACCACCACCCTACCAGAATTATACCCATTGATTATCCAATATCAGAGTTATAGGTGAGGTAACACTCAATCAAAGGTCTATAATTATGTCACATCAAAGTGTTGCCCATAACAACCACTGTTGCTCCTATAATGGTATGCATTGAGTCTGTGTGTGTGTGTGTGTGTGTGTGTGTGTGTGTGTGTGTGTGTGTGTGTGTACATACCAGACACCCCACACACCACACACACACACATATGCCATCACATAAGACACAGGTTAGTATACAAGAAATTGAATACACAGATATGTCATATAGGTAGAACATACAACAGAATTGCAAACCACCACACCTGTCAGAACCCTACCACACCTGTCGGAACCCCATCACACCTGCCAGACCTTATAACATCTGCCAGACCTTTCACCACACCTATCGGAGTTTCACCACACCTGCCAGAGCTCACCCACCCTGTCAGACTCGAGTACACCTGTGACAAACACCTGAAACACACCTGAACCACATATGTTGTCTCACTGTTGGGCCACAACAAACGTGTAGCCAAAAAGCTGAGACAAAACACAAAGATTTATTGCATATCTATACTCAGTGTTGTGTAGTAGCGTGCAAGTGTGTGTGTGTGTGTGTGTGTGTGTGTGTGAGTGTGTGTGTGTGTGTGTGTGTGTGTGTGTGTGTGTGTGTGTGTGTGTGTGTGTGTGTGTGTGTATACACTAACACACTCACAAATCACATCCAACAACTGAAGAAAATAACAGCACATTATACCATCGAGCAGGAGGGTGGTTAGAAGAAGAAGAAGAAGTTAGGGTTAGGTTAGGTTAGGTTAGGTTAGGGGTTAGGTTAAGACAAGGGGTTAGGTTAGGTAGGTAGGTTAGGTTAAGACAAGTGGGTTAGGAGGTTAGGTTAGGTTAGGTTAAGACAAGTGTTGGGTTAGGTTAGGGTTAGGAAGTTAGTTTAAGATGGGTTAGGTTAGAACAGGTTAGGTAAAGGTTAAGACACAAGAAGATAGGGTCAGGTTAGGTGTAAGTTAAGACAAGTGGGGTTAGGTTAGGTTAGGTTAGGGTTAGTTAAGACAAGTAGGTTAGGTTAGGTATTAGGCTAGGTTAGGTTACAAGTCAGGGTTAGGTCAGGAGGAAGGGGTTTAGACAGGTTAGGGTTAGGTTAGGTTAACACAAGTGGGTTAGGTTAGGTCAGGTTAGGTAAAGGTTAAGACAAGGGTTAGGTTAGGTCAAGGTTAGGAAGGGTTAGGGGTTAGGTTAGGTTAGGTTAAGAAATAGGTTAAGCAAGAAGAGGTCAGGTTAGGTAAAGGGTTTAGACAAGTGGGTTAGGTTAGGTCAGGTTAGGTAAAGGTTAAATACAGGGTTTAGTTAGGTTAGGTTAGGTTAAGAAAAGTGGTTGACATTGGGGTTAGGTTAGCTAGGTTAGGTTAGGTTAAGACAAGTGTCAGGTTAGGTCAGGTTAGGTTAGGTTAAGACAAGTGGGTTAGTTAGGTCAGGTTAGGTTAGTAGACAAGCGGTTAGGTTAGTCAGGTTAGGTTAGGTTAAGACGTGGGTTGTTAGGTTATACAGACCACAGGCCAGAGTGACGCGCCGCGATAAGCTTATCTTAATATGAGCCAAATATAACCAAGTCCTGACACACGTTGACTACTGCACGTCTAATGTTGGCTATAACCCTCTTGTGCTACTCCTGCCCAACCTAACCAATCCTAACCTAATCCTAACCCAACCTAACCCAACCCAACCCCAACCTAACCTGACCCAACCCAACCTAACCTAACCAAACCTAACCCAACCCAACCTAACCTAACCTAACCTAACCCAACCTAACCCCTAACCCAACCCAACCTAACCCAACCTAATAACCTAACCTAACCGAATCTCAAGGTGAAAATGACAGTCTAGACTACCCAGTTTCACTAACACACACTGCCACCTGAGGAGCAGTGAGTTACCATGAGGAACTGTGAGTTACCTGAGGGACCTGTGAGTTACCTGAGGACCAGTGAGGACCCGTGAGGACCCAGATACCGTGATGGACCCGTGAGTTACCATGATGGATCCTGAGATACCGAGTTACCGTGATGTACCCGTGAGTTACTGTGATGGACCCGTGAGATACCGTGAGTTACGTGATGGACCCGTGAGATACCGTGAGTTACCGTGATGGACCCAGATACCGTGAGCCGTGATGGACCCGTGAGATACCGTGAGTTACCGTGATGGACCCGTGAGATACCGTGAGTTACCGTGATGGACCTGAGATACCGTGAGTTAGTGATGGACCCGTGAGATATCGTGAGTTACCGTGATGGACCCAGAGATACCGTGAGTTACCGTGATGGACCCGTGAGACGTGAGTTACCGTGATGGACCTGTAGACCGTGAGGGACCCAGATACTGTGATGAACCCGTAGTTACTGTGATGGACCCATGAGTTTCGTGATGGACCCATGAGTTACCGTGGGACCCGTACAACGATGGACCTGGATTACCGTGATGGACCCATGAGTTCCGTGATGGACCCGTGAGTTGTGATGGACCCATGAGTTCCCGTGATGGACCCGTGAGTTACCGTGATGGACCCAGAGTTCCCGTGATGGACCCTGAGTTACCGTGATGGACCCATGAGTTCCCGTGATGGACCTGAGTTACCGTGATGGACCCATGAGTTCTCGTGATGGACCCGTGAGTTACCGTGATGGACCCAGAGTTACCGTGATGACCGTGAGTTACCGTGAGGCTAATCAGTAACACAGGACGAGGAAGACGCTTATATAACGGTTTACATTCTTAAGCGGTGATTAAACTGTTAAGCCTCACCTCACGCGATCACCAGGTAAGAGGCCCCCTCACGCACACCTGCCCTGCGCACACACACACACACACACACGCACACACACACACACGCATATTCAAACACAAGAACACACACAAGAGCTTCGTGTGCACATACATATTCACACATATATTTCTCACACGCACACAAGACATTCCTGGAACATGAATTACACACACACACACACACACACACACACACACACACACACACACATACACATACACACACACACATACACACACACACACACACACACACGCATATTCAAACACAAGAGCTGTGTGCACATACATATTCAACATATATTTCTCACACGCACACAAGACATTCCTGGTGCACATGAATTACACACACACACACACACACACACACACACACACACACACACACACACACACACACACACACACACACACACACACACACACACACACACACACACACACACACACACACACGATGGTTGAGAAAGGTTCCTCACGCACACACACATACACACCCACATCCACACCCACACACACACACACACACACACCCACGCACACACACACACACACACACACACACACACATTGCATTACCAACAGACAAATAGAGATGCTCAGTGGTTGAAGGAAGAAATCTGACAATAATCCTGTAAATTGTTTAACTCTAAAAACCGAAGTCAAATCAGGTAAACCGAAAGGTAATCTGTCACATCTCTGGGTAAATCTGGATAAAATTGAGACGCATCTAGGTGAAACGATGAAGAAATCTGTACTAAATCTGAGGGTTAAGTGAAATCTGTAGGGAGGTAGGGAAGGAGGAGGGAGAAAGGAGGAAGGAGGGAGGAGAAAAGGGAGAAAGGGAGGAAGGGAGGGAGAGAGAAAAACCTAGTGGTTTTCTGAGGAGGAGGAGGGTAGAAGGGTGAGGGAGGGAGGAAGAGAAGAAAGGAAGAGGAGGAGGAGAAGGGAGAAAGAAGAGGAGGACTAAGAGGAAAACGAAGAAGGAAGAGGAAGAGGAGGAGGAGGAAGGAGGAGCAAGAGGAGGAGGAGGGGGAGGACTGCTGCCGTCTTAACAAAGCAAGTCCTTGTGTCGATTTCATTGAATTCTGATTTACTTATAATTCACAGGTCAGTAGTGTGAGAGTTAGGTAATGTTGGCCTCTGGTTTCACTCCTCTCTGGGTAGTGTGAGAGTTAGGTAATGTTGGCTCTCTGGCTTCTCTCTCACCTCTCTGGTAGTGTGGAGTTAGTAATGTTGGCTCTCTGGCTCACTCTCACTCTCCCGGTAGTGAGAGTTAGGTAATGCTATTCTCTCTCTTCTGGCTCTCGGTAGTGGAGAGTTAGTAATGTTGGCCTCTCTGCCTCGCCTCTCACTTCTCCTCGGGGAGTATAAGAGTTCGGCAATGTCAGGACTAAGTAATCTCGCCTGTTTGAATTATGAATTAAAATGTCACTTTGAGCCCCCGGAAAAGGGTTCATTTTTAGGCACTGAACCCTTGACATGAACCCGATGTGACCCCTAACATGAACCCTGATTGACCTTGGCATGAACCCCTGATGTGACCCCCTAACATGAACCCTGATGTGACCCCCAACATGAACCCTGATGTGACCCCTTGACATGAACCCTGATGTGACCCCTAACATGAACCCTGATGGACCCCTAACATGAACCCTGATTGACCCCTGACACTGCTCTTTGGAGGGGAGGTAGGTGGAGGTCCTGGAGGGTGAGGTAGGTGGAGGTCCTGGAGGGTGAGGTAGGTGGAGGTCCTGGAGGGTGAGGTAGGTGGAGGTCCTGGAGGGGGAGGTAGGTGGAGGTCCTGGAGGGTGAGGTAGTCAAGGAGGACAAGAACGCCTGGTGACCGGCTCCATGACGCACACCTCCCGGGTCCCTCGTTCTGCCTCACTGACCAACACAGGAACAGTATTAGGAGCTGACAGCACTTGGTGCCAGGGGCGAGGTGAGGGTCAGGAGGGTGTCAGTGGCGAGGGTCAGGAGGGTGTCAGTGGCGAGATGAGGGTCAGGAGGGTGTGTTAATAGCAGATAAGGGTCAGGGAGTGTCAGTTCCGAGGTGAGGGGTCAGGGGTGCCACGGGTAAGCTTAAAGAAGTGCTAAAGTAGTAAAGTTAAGTGAAGGTCTGCGACAGGTGCCCCCATGTGCGACAGGAGGAGGAGGGTGGGTAGACGCCCGTGACCACCACCAGCGATAATGGGTGAGCCAGGTAGAGCTGTCCAGGGTCTTGCCTCAGGTACAACAAGAGGCACAGGTACAACATAAAGACTCCTCCCTCCTGTACTGCTCAACAATATGGAGACGTGAGAGTATTCCTTAACTTGAGGCGGTGAACAGTGCAGGGAGAGAGAGAGAGAGAGAGAGAGAGAGAGAGAGAGAGAGAGAGAGAGAGAGGTTAGGTGGGTGTCACGAGATGGCCCCCCTGGTGATCCACTCCCATGATGTGTGATCCACCCACTATGACGGCACCAAAGTGTGTCAGTGGGTGGCACTAGAGTGTGTCAGGTGGGTGGCACTAGAGTGTGTCAGGTGGGTGGCACTAGTGTGTCAGGTGGGTGGCACTAGAGTGTGTCAGGGGTGGCACTAGAGTGTGTGGCCGTGGGTGGCACTGTAAGGGTGGCACCAGAGTGTGTCAGGTGGGTGGCACTAGTGTGTGTCAGAGTGGGTGGCACCAGAGTGTGTCAGGTGGGTGGCACTCAGAGTGTGTCAGGTGGGTGGCACTAGAGGTGTGTCAGGTGAGTGGCACCAGAGTGTGTCAGGTGGGTGGCACTAGAGTGTGTCAGGTGGGTGGCACTAGAGTGTGTCAGGTGGTGCACTAGAGTGTGTCAGGTGGGTGGCACCAGAGTGTGTCAGGTGGGTGGCACTAGAGTGTGTCAGGTGGGTTGCACCAGAGTGTGTCACAGTGGGTGGCACTTGAGTGTGTCAAGGTGGGTTGCACCAGAGTGTGTCACAGTGGGGTGGCACTAGAGTGTGTCAGGTGGGTGGCACCAGAGTGTGTCAGGTGGGTGGCACTAGAGTGTGTCAGGTGGGTGGCACTGCTGTAAGGGTGGCACTCAGGTACTCCAGGCTGGCTTTGCACACACTTATGGTTTAACACCTACACGCCATCTGTGTGTGTGTGTGTGTGTGTGTGTGTGTGTGTGTGTGTGTGTGTGTGTGTGGTGTGTCCATCACCACTGGTAGGGAGGACTTGGGTGGTGGAGGAGGAGGAGGGAGGGAGGTGGTGGAGTAGGGAGGTGTGGGTGAGATGGTGGAGGAAGAGGTGGTGGAGAAGAGGTGATGGAGGAGGAGGTAGGGAGACTTGGTGGTGGGAGGAGGTGGTGGAGGAGGTGGTGGAGAGGAGGTGGTGGAGTAGGAGGTGGTGGAGGAGGTGGTGGAGTAGGGAGGTGGTGGAGGAGGTGGTGAAGGAAGAGGTGATGGAGGAGGAGGTGATGAAGGAGGAGGTGGTGGAGTGGGAGGTGGTGGGTGGAAGAGGTGGTGGGAGGAAGAGGATGGAGGAGGAGGTGATGGGAGGAGGAGGTAGGGAGGGAGGAGGAGGAGGTGGGAGGAAGAGGTGGAGGGAGGAGGTGGTAGGGAGGGAAGAGGTGGTGGAGGGAGGAGGTGTAGGAGGAGGTGGTGGGAGTAGGGAGGTGGGGAGGGAGGTGGTGGGAGAGGAGGGGTGGGGGGAGGAGGTGGTGGGAAGGAAGAGGTGATGGAGGAGGAGGTGGATGGAGGAGGAGGAGGTAGGGGAGGGAGGTGGTGGTGGAGGAGGTGGTGGTTGGAGGAAGAGGTGATGGAGGAGGAGGTGGGGGAGGAGGAGGAGGTGGGAGGGAAGAGGTGGGAGGAGGAGGTGGTGGAGGAAGAGGTGGTGGGAGGAAGAGGGGTGGGGAGGAAGAGGTGAGGGAGGGAGGAGGTGGTGGAGGAAGAGGTGGGTGGAGGAGGAGGTGGTTGGAGGAGGTGGTGGAGTAGGGAGGTGGTGGGAGGAGGTGGTGAAGGAAGAGGTGATGGAGGAGGAGGTGATGGAGGAGGAGGTGGAGTAGGAGGTGGTGGGAGGAGGTGGTGGTGGAGGAAGAGGTGGGGAGGAGGAGGAGGGAGGAGGAGAGGGAGGAGGAGGTGGTGGAGAGAGGAGGTGGAGAGAGAGGGATGTGTGTGTGGAGGTGCGGGTAGACCAAGGGGAAAGGAGGGGAGATTGAGACGTGGTGACGGCAGTACAAAGGGGAGAGAGAGGCAGCGGTGAGGGGACGCCCAGCCAGTGACGGGGGGGAGAGTGCCCAGCACGAGGAGGAGGAGGAGGAGGAGGAGGACGTGAAAGAAGAATATAGAGAGGAGGAAGAAGAAGAGGGGAAGCATAACAAAGAGAGAGAGAGAGAGAGAGAGAGAGAGAGAGAGAGAGAGAGAGAGAGAGAGAGAGAAAATAGTTATATTATTCTTAAAAACAGTGATGACGTCACAGTCAAACACTACGACGTCACACAGACCAGTTATGATTTCCTGCTGAGGTACCAGACATGACGTCATTTTCATTAATGCTTATGACGTCAGAAAAACCAGCAATCAAGTCCCAGAAGACGTCCCCAGGCGACCAAAAGGCCAGAGGACCTCAGGACGGCCAAGAGGCCAGAGGACCCCTGAGACGACCAACAGGCCCAGAGAACCTCCCCTAGACGACCAAGAGGCCAGAGGACCTCCCCTAGACGACCAAGAGGCCAGAGGACCTCCCCAGGCGACTAAGAGGCCAGAGGACCTCAGGACGGCCAAGAGGCCAGAGGACCTCCCTAGACGACCAACAGGCCAGAGGACCTCCTTCTGACGACCAAGAGGCCAGAGGACCTACCCCTAGACGAGCAAGAGGCCAGGAGGACTACCAGACGAGCAAGAGGCCAGAGGACCTCACCCAGACGAGCAAGAGGCAAGAGGACCCCCTAGACGACCAAGAGGCCAAGAGGACCCATCCCTAGACGAAGCAAGAGGCCAGAGGACCCACCAGACGACCAAGAGGCCAGAGGACCCCTCTAGACGACTAAGAGGCCAGAGGACCTACCTAGACGAGCAAGAGGCCAGAGGACCTCCTAGACGACCAAGAGGCCAGAGGACTCCCCTAGACGACCAAGAGGCCAGAGGATCCCCAGACGACCAAGAGGCCAGAGGACCTCACCTAGACGACCAAGAGGCCAGAGGACCTCCCCAGACGACCAAGAGGCCAGAGGACCTCCCCCAGGAGACTAAGAGGCCAGAGAACCTCAGGACGGGCTAAGAGGCCAGAGGACCTCCCCAGACGACCAACAGGCCAGAGGACCTCCTCTAGACGACTAAGAGGCCAGAGGACCTACCCCTAGACGAGCAAGAGGCCAGAGGACTCACCTAGACGAGCAAGAGGCCAGAGGACTCCTACCTAGACGAGCAAGAGGCCAGAGGACCTCCTCGTAGACGAGCAAGAGGCCAGAGGACCTACCCCTAGACGAACTAAGAGGCCAGAGGACCCACCTAGACGACCAAGAGGCCAGAGGACTCTCCCCAGAAGAGCAAGAGGCCAGAGGACCTCCCCTAGACGAGCAAGAGGCCAGAGGACCTCACCTAGACGAGCAAGAGGCCAGAGGACCTCCCCTAAGACGAGCAAGAGGCCAGAGGACACTCACCTAGACGACCAAGAGGCCAGAGGACCTCCCTAGACGAGCAAGAGGCCAGAGGACCCCCCCAGACGACCAAGAGGCCAGAGGACCCACCCTAGACGACCAAGAGGCCAGAGGACCTCCCCTAGACGAGCAAGAGGCCAGAGGACCTCACCCAGACGAGCAAGAGGCCAGAGGACCTCCCCTAGACGAGAAAGAGGCCAGAGGACTCCCCTAGACGACCAAGAGGCCAGAGGACCCTCCCCTAGACGACCAAGAGGCCAGAGGACCTACCCTAGACGAGCAAGAGGCCAGAGGACCTCACCCAGACGACCAAGAGGCCAGAGGACCTCCCCAAGACGTTGCCACGACTTAGGACAATGGAGGAAGGAGAGATGATGATTATCAACAAGACAAAGAGACAGGGAAGGAGGGGCTGCCTCATGACCCACCTCCACCTGGGGCTGCCTCATGACCCACTCTCCCACCTGGGCTGCCTCATGACCCACCTCCACCTGGGGCTGCCTCATGACCCACTCTGAGGGCTGCTCATGACCCACTACCTGGGGCTGCTTCATGACCCACCTCCACCTGGGGGCTGCTTCATGACCCACCTCACTCTGGGGCTGCTTAGACCCACTCATCTGGGCTAAGCCATGACCCACCTCCACCTGAGGGCTGCCTATCACTCCCACCTCCTGCCTCACCCACCACCTGGGGCTGCCCATGACCCACAAATGCACTAGGGAGGAGGAGGGGAGGCAGTGCTACTGTAGAACGTAGCTGACGCAGACGCAGTAGGTGAGTGTCAGCAAAGCAGTAGTAGGTAAGTGTCAGCAGGAGCAGTAGTAGGTAAGTGTCAGCAGGAAGCAGTAGTAGGTAAGTGTCAGCAGGAAGCAGTAGTAGGTAAGTGTCAGCAGGAAGCAGCAGTAGATAAGTGTCAGCAGTGAAGTAGAGGCGTGTCAGCAGGAAGCAGTAGTAGGTAAGGCAGCAGGAAGCAGCAGTAGATAAGTGTCAGCAGGAAGCAGTAGTAGGTAAGTGTCAGCAGGAAGCAGTAGTAGGTAAGTGTCAGCAGGAAGCAGTAGTAGGTAAGTGTCAGCAGGAAGCAGTAGTAGGTAAGTGTCAGCAGGAAGCAGTAGTAGGTAAGGTCAGCAGGAAGCAGTAGTAGGTAAGGTCAGCAGGAAGCAGCAGTAGATAAGGGTCAGCAGCAGCAGTAGTAGGTAAGTGTCAGCAGAAGCAGCAGTAGAAAGGTCAGCAGGAAGCAGTAGTAGGTAAGTGTCAGCAGGAAGCAGTAGTAGGTAAGGTCAGCAGGAAGCAGTAGTAGGTAAGTGTCAGCAGGAAGCAGTAGGAGGGAAGTGTCAGCAGGAAGCAGTAGTAGGTAAGTGTCAGCAGGAAGCAGTAGTAGGTAAGTGTCAGCAGGAAGCAGCAGTAGATAAGTGTCAGCAGCAGCAGTAGTAGGTAAGTGTCAGCAGGGAATAGTAGGTAAGTGTCAGCAGGAGGCAAGATATGAATGCCCCACAACGCCATAATCACAACAAAATGTTTAGCTTCCACAACGTCGCCTCTTTTTGTGGCGCCGCCTCTAACATATTGTATATACGTGAACCACAACCAATTGAACCAAACAGGAATATTATTAGAGGCGCACTTGAGGTAGAATCTGCGCCTTTTATGTTATTTAGAGGCGCACTTGAGGTATAACTGAGCCTTAAAAATACTTAAAGATGACTAACTGACTGACTGATGGGTAAGGGTGAGGGGACAGGTGATGGGACGGGGTGTGGGGACGGTTGACGGGACGGATGATGGGACGACTGGAAGGTGCAGGACGGGGTGATGGGACAGGTGATGGGACCAAGGAGGAACGGGGGTACAGCATGGCTGAGGGGTGCAGGATGGGGTGATGGGACGGTGAAGGGACGGGTGATGGGACGGGGGCGCGACGGGGACAGCCAATCAAGCTTGACATTGAGATCAGGGGATGGTGTGGTCCTCCTCCTCCTCCTCCTCCTCCTCTTCCTTCTTTCCCCTCCTCTTACTTTTTTTCTTCCTCCTTTTCTTATGTCTCCTCATCTTTCCTCCTCCTTCTTCTCTTACTTCTCTTCCATTTTCTCTTCCTTTGCTTTCTTTCTCCTCTTAATGAGTATCAAATTTTGTTTTTATTATTGCGTCGTTCCTTCCTGCGTCACTCCTTCCTGTTGCTGCGTCACTCCTTCCTGTTGCTGCGTCACCCTTGCTGTTGTTGCGTCACTTGCTGTTGCTGCGTCACTCCTTGCTGTTGCTGCGTCACCTTGTTGTTGCTGCGTCATCCTCCTTCCTGTTGTTGCGTCATTCCTTCCCGTTGTTGCTTCACTCCTCTTCCCGTTGCTTCGTCACTTCTTCCTGTTGATGCGTCACCCTTCCTGTTGATGCGTCACTCCTTCCTTGCTGATGCGTCATCCTGTTGTTGCGTCATCTTCCTGTTGTTGCGTCATTGTCATTACCTTCCTGCTGAAGTGTTGTTGTTTTTGCTTGTTGACGATGCCAATTTCACTTCCACCCCCTCCCCCTCCCACACCAACCCACCCTATCACTCAACCTCCCTCCCACTCTCTCCCTCCCACCACAACCTCCCTCCATCTCCCACCCCCTCCCACCAACCCACTCCTCCCACTAGGCCCACTCCTCCCACAACTCCACTCCTAACACCCCCACTCCCCTACCACCCCTCCTCCTACCCACCCCTTCCTCCTCTCCCTTCTTTATGACAGCGTTTAGTTAAGGGAGGACAACCCCTTCCTCCTCTACTCCTCCCTCTCCCCCCCCGAGACACCTGAAGTGGTCTGTACCAGACGTTGAGGGGAAGGGGGCATCACCTCCCCCATCCCCCGTTGAAAGTTGAGTGTAAGGGGATGAGTGTAAGGGGGATGAGAAGGGGGGATGACGGGGATGAGGGAAGGGGGGATGAGGAGGGGATGAGGTAAGGTGAGGGGATGAGGTGAGGGGAAAAGGGAGGAGGGGAAAGTGAGGGGAGAAGGGGGTGAGGGGAGAAGGGGCTGGGGGAAGAAGGGGTTGAGGGAGAGAAGGGGTGAGGGAGGAGGGAGGGTGAGGTAGGAGTCGGGTGACACACACACACACACACCTCTCCACACTTGTCAACGCTAATGAGTGTGTGTGTGTGTATGTGTGTGTGTGTGTGTGTGTGTGTGTGTGTGTCTCAGGAGTAGGTGAGAGCGTGTGATAGGTAACAAGCAGGGTGATTACGGGTCAGAGTAAGTCAGTATGTGCCAGTATGGGTCAGTGTGGGTTAGTGGGGGAGCGTGGGTCAGTATGGGAGCCTGGATCAGTGTTGGCGAGTCTGGGTGAGCAGAGGAAGATAGCAACATGTAATCGAAATCCAAAGCGCATACT